ATCGAACGATTGCCTATTAATGATTTTCACTGCTTTGTACTTTTGTCTATGAAAAAATAGTTCAAAAATTGGAAAATAGTTAAATTTCACGCACCAGCGCATGAAAGCTGAATTAGAAACCTTGAAGGGTGAATATCTTTCCGTGATTCCCGAGTTAAATTTTCACGAGGCCGTAGGTGATACTCAAGAGCGCGGGAACGCTGAACTTAATGGGCAAGGTTGAGCGTGGGCAGGGAGTCATTAATCTAAAATTTCAACCTCCTAGACCCCCTGGTTGCTGAGATACTAACTTACCCGTAAAAAACTTTCACGGGGCCATACGTGTAACCCGCGGGTAAGGGAAGGCTGAATTTGAATGGGCAAGGTTGAGCGTGGGCAGGGGGGCACTACCCTAAGATTTCAGTCTCCTAGACCCCGTGGTTCCTGAGATATTAATTTACCCGTAAAAAGCTTTCACAAGGCCGTACGAGTTACTCGCGGTACGGGAAGGCTGAATTTAAATTTGCCCGCGTCACCCGTTGGCGGGGAACATTATACCAAAACTTCAGCCGCCCAGCTTTTGTGGTTCCCGAGTTGAAAGTGCGGGACAAAATGTGGGACACACACACAGACAACCCCGTGACAATATGCGTTTTGTAACGCTGTTACACAGCACAAAACGCATAAAAAACGGACTGCTACTACCAATTAGGGTGAGGGATTTGTGACAGATGCTCAACACAGAACCGAAAATGCTGTTGCTGACCGGCGCACGAAAGGGGAGCTCAAACTAAACAATTTACTGTGATGGCGATTTGGGTACCCCTCCCCCGCTGGTAATCTCCCTTTCTCCGATAGCAATCTCTTCATCAATAAGCAAACACATATGTTTGCAATATTATTAATGTTACCGCCACCGATAGGACTTATTAAAAAAATTATTATCATTATCATTGCTATCATTATTACTGTCATTATTGCTGCCGTTATTATTATTATTGCTATTGCTGTTGCTATTATTATTATTATTGTTATTATCATCATTATTATTATTATTATTATTATTATTGTTGTTATTATTATTATTATTATTGTTATTATTATTATTATAATTATTATTACTGTTATTATTATTATTATTATTATTATT